GGCGTTTTATGGACAGGAATTGGAATTTCTAACAATAGCGACCTTAAAACGCCATAAACGTGTTATATTTATCAAAAGTATGTTCTTATCGTTACTATCTTATCAACGTTATTAAATTTGCTAAGTGTGAAAATGTTCAGGTAGAGTACATTTTAAGGCTTCAATTGCGTAAAATGTATTTAAGAATTGGTCCTTAAGGGCGCGGCCATTTTTATTGTAGCAAATGTGTGGGACAGAAAAGATCTACCGCATGCGTACCGCAAGGCAAAAATTCTGATAATAAATTCAAATTAATAAGAAACTTAATACTGAAAGTGACACTGTTTAAGATACTCCTAATAATGTTCTACTTTTAAAAGTTTTTTTAAAATCGTCACTCGTATTGTGCTTTATTATTGCGATTGCTTTTGCTATATACGTGCTCTGTGAAGTTTTCAATATTTAAAAATAATGGAGAAAAAATCGTTCTGTAGCATTGTTAGTTTCAGTTGAATAAAAACCAAACTTATATACCAAACCAAATATCATAGTTAGAAAAGAACGTTCTGTTTAGAAAGTATTGTGTAAGATTTCATAAAATAAATTGTTTTAAACTTATTATATTCTTATCCTTCCTGTGTCTCAGTCAAAGTGTGAAGTAAAAATTTTGAATATCGTTTATTTTATTACGTTTCGGCGAGACAACAGCGCCATCATCAGATTTAAAATTTATACAAACTACAAACACCAATTCACAATTAAAACATGTACAAAAACTATAATTTATAAAACGTTAAAACATTCATCACTTCTTGAGGGAAAAATCCTTCCTTTTGGGAGAGAAAAATATTTGAAAAACTTACCTCATAATTGGTAAACATTACGTTCTTTTAGGTCTTTGCTTTCGACATAAGAATATAATAAAAATTACACGCAGTCAGGAAAATAAATCAAAATTGTTTTAAACTTTTATTTCGTTGTCATTTAAATGCATTTATAGTAGATAGTAGTAAGTGTAGCTTCACTTTCCTTTCCACTGAATTGTTTCTCTTTTGTTAATCTTTTTCAATTATTTTACTTCTTCAAATAGTTTAGTGACTATGAGTAAGCTATGTTCGAAGCAAATAAAAAAACATCAATTATTCCGGTATCGGTCAAGAAACCGTCCCTTATATGAAAACGATTAATTGGCCCGTAACCCATCCTGAGTGTTTGCTTAGTGTTGCTAGGTGTAGGCGGTACAAATGTGGACAGAATTCGGCTTTTATATTTAAATATTTGATGATTTGACTGGTCTTAAATATATATTTGCAGACTCGCAAAGTCGATGCTACAGGTTTAGAATGTTCTAGATATAATCTTCTAAAATCCCTTGCCAAACAGTAGTTTAATATTGCTCTTTGTATATTAGTCAATTAACATCAGTGATTCCAAATAAAGACAGAATGTACAAAATGTACACATGTATATTTTCTGTGGCCTTTGCTGATTATATTATCATATATTTGGTAAACTTTGTGTCTTACCTCACATTTGAAGCACGTGTGATTATCGTAAAGTCCAATATCTAAAGTTCAGCGGAAAGAAGCATGAAAGATAATAATTGTGACAATGAGTCAACACTGAGCTTTCGGACTGTTTTATCTCGTTTTTAAACCCACTTATCATAATTATAATATAAATTATCAATGGAATTTTATGTGTTTGTTTGATCGGCAAACAATGGGTTTCCAGATAATAACACTTTGATTAAAATGTGTGAAAATCGGTTTTAGAAAAAACATTTTCTTTCTCTTACACACATTTCTATTTTAACACGCTAAATACCACAAAAGATGCAACGTGAATAAGTTTGAAATAGATCGAATAAGTATTTACTAGATTATTTCACTCATCCATAGCAACGCCATAGGGCAAAAAAGGTATTAATAAACGGTAATTCGATAATTTTCAAAAAAACTTACAGCGAATATTTTTTAATACACTTTTAATTTTATTACTTATGTTTATTAAATATAATTTGAATATGTTAGGTACCTCAGAAAGGCATTTTATGTCTAATTCAACATGAAAAGACACCTGTCAAATATTTTTCGTAAACAATGCAATTATCGTTAAGTGATAATTGCACACTGTGCAATTACCGCTGTAATTTTTCGATAATTGCTTCAAACGGGCAGATTATCATACGAAGGAAATATTCGGGGGTAATACCACGAGTGCTTTAAAATTACCGATAATTTTTCACGATTGCATGTTTTCCATAGTTTCACGAGTCCGTAGGACGAGTGAAATTTGCAAGGAAAACATGCCAGAGTGAAAAATTATATGGTTAATTTTAAAGCTCGAGTGGTATTTAGTGAGATTATTTCTCGAGTTAAATTCCAGAATATATTTGACATCAATCACTTTAAATAAATCAGTCGACAGTGATATTTTTTATGATTACATGACGACGTGAAATTATTGGGGGTAATACCACGAGCACTCGTGGTATTACCCCCGAATATTTCCTTCGTATGATAATCTGCCCGTTTGAAGTGTGCAATTATCGAAAAATTACAGCGGTAATTGCACAGTGTGCAATTATCCACTCAGCGATAATTGCATTGTTTACAAAAAATATTTGACAGGTGTCTTTTCATGTTAAATTAGACATAAAATGCCTTCCTGACATACCTAAGATATTCAAATTATATTTAATAAACATAAGTAATAAAATTAAAAGTGTAATAATATACAATAGAAATAAAATGAATACACATTAACTTTGTTTACTCAGGAAATATTCATAAAAATTACACTCGTGCATGAAAATAAACGGATAATTTTGCATTCGAGCTTGTTGTCTTGTAAAAACTGCATTCGTTTATTTTCACATTGGAACGAAAAAGCCCTCCTCCTTCGGAGTCGGACTTTTGCGCCACAATATGAAAATAAACTCATGCAGTTTTTAGACAACAAGCTTTCAGGCAAAATTATCGGTAATTTTGAAGCACTTGTGCAATTACCCCCGATAAGTTTTTATCCAAACCAATGATAATTAATAAATACTTAACACAAGCAGCTGTAATATTTTTGTTGCCCGAAAAGTTAGGGGTTCTTAAATATGCTGTTGAACTGGACTTAGACTTAACGAAAATGTAGAAGTTCAAAGTTAATAAAAAGTTATTAAATATACTTCGTATGAGTGGTGTTTGTCTTGATTTGAAGCTTCTGTTCTAGTAGAAGAAAAGTATGCCGTAAAATAAAATAATATTCTAAACTGAGTTAAACTTGAGTAGCGAGTACTGAGTAGTTTGACTATCGTTACAGTGTGATATACATATATGTATAACATCTATCTAATTAGCCTTCTTCCGTCCATCTTTGGACGTATGCCTCCCCCAGTCTTTTCCACTCCACTCCTGTTTGTAGCCATGTTCATCCATCTATTTCCGGAGTGCTTCTTCAGGTCCACCTCATTTGGGGTCTTCCTCTATTTCTTTATTTTCCCAGGGTCTTCAGTTTAGAATACATTTGTTCCATCGTTCGCCTTTTTGCCTGATATTTGACCGGCGAATTTCCATATCAATGTTGTTATATCTTTTCTAATATCTCTTTGTTCTCCAATTGTTCTCCAATTCTTCCAAATCTCAGTGTTCGTCATGGTTTTAGTTTTGGCGTAGTTCATATTAAGACCTATATTTTTATAATAGGAATTGGTGTGTACACACTGGATGAAATCAAAGAATCGGTCTTTTTTGCATTGAAGTTGTATTGAAGTGTGTTTACACACCTATATTTTTAGCGGCTGTATCCATTTCTTTCAGCATTTCGGTCAGTTCTTCTTTCTTATCTGTTATTAAGGCGATATCATCCGCGTATCTTAGGTTGTTAAGGTATTGTCCACATATTTTTATACCTTCTTTCTCCCAGTCTAATTTCTTTAAAACATCCTCTAGGGCCTGGTTAAAAAGTTTAGGTGATATTGTCGCCCTGTCTGACACCTCTTATGTGTATTGGTCTTGTTCCCTCATGGATTATAATTGTTGTTGCTTCGCTATATATGTTGGTTGTTAAGTCTAAGTGTGTCGCAGTCTATTCTGCTTTTAATTAGCGAGCTTTTCACTGCCCAGTGTTCACAACTATCAAAAGCTTTTTCGAAGTCGATAAACGCAACATCTTTCTAATAGGATTTTCATTGTTAATAGGTGGTTGGTCGTGCTGAAACCCTTGCTGACGCGGGCGTGTTCTTTCGATTGTTATCTGTCGAATTTTCTTGTTAGCTTAGTGATTAGCATTTTTGTGCTTATAAACTACATTAAGCAGAGGTATATTATGATGGCTCATTCGAGTTATTTAGGAGAGTATGGAGAGAATCAACCATAGTTTTTCACCATATTTTAATATTTCTACCCTTATTCGATTGTTTCATACAGCAACTATATATTTTTCTATAACATATTAGGAACTAAAATGACCATAACAAAAACTGAACTAAAATTACTGTTAAGATTAGGCGAGTGATAGCGAGAAAATTTCAGGTGACGTATTTGTGGAAACAAACATTTTTTATTTCATAATGGGCTATTTACCGAACCGAATACATTCTGAACAACTATAGATCTCCATTTTAAGATTCCTCATAGGCGTAACCGTACTAAAAATGTCGCCGACAAGAAAATGAAACTATTATCAATTAGGAAAAGAAGTTGAAGCCATTAAATGGGACATTGTAGGGCTATGCGAATACACGTCGAAAAGGTGAAACATATACACAATTAGGATCTGGACATGCGTTCAATCAAAATAACTCAGATGCTCACTATACAAACGGCGGTGTAGCATTTCTCATCAATTAGAAAATCAAACATTACGAGAGGGTTGTGTCCAAGAGTGGATGAATAACGGCTGACATAGATGAAGAAGATGTATTTTCATTGTTTTTTTTTCACTTTATAGATATTAATATAATAAATTAAAAGATTTGATAGCAAGAACACTTTTGTAATTATTTACTAATTGATGCTTTGTTTCAGAACCGAAGGAACGAGAGGTGAAATTATGATGAATGATCGAGTGAGGAATCTGAGCAAGTTTAGGAAATTATCTGCTTACATCATGCAAGACAACCAGCTGCATGGGAATCTGACTGTGAATGAAGCCATGAATGTGGCATCCAAGCTAAAGATCGGAAATAAGTCTGCAAAGGACAGGGAAACCATTGTAAGATCACTATAATATATATATATCATAATATGTTGTTTGAAAGAGTTAGTTTGAAAAGATTCGATCAATAGAATTCAACTAAATGCACAAGTTAAAAGTCACAATGAGGCGTGAAAAATACTGATTGATTTAGTTTAAGTTCGTGAAATCAATGGGATCAAATGCTTTAACATGGAGGGCACGTACAGAGTGATCCAAACTTGACGCCCAAGGTCTACTGTGCCAAAACGAAAACTGATAAAGTCTAAACCTAGGGTCTCAAATGTGATGATGTGAGGTACACTTTCAGCGAAAAGAAAAAAATATAATAATAAATTCAGAAATGGCATTAATGACGGCATCGACAACTTTTTCCCAGAAACAAGTGCTGATCACCTAAAACCAAAAAAAATAAGCAGCATGTGGAAACATTTTCCGGGAGGTGTTGAATAAAGTTACCGTACAGGAAGTTAGAAGAAGATATACAAAATAAGTTGAAGAAGATCACAGAGAAAATCGATTTTAGAAAGCATCAATTTACATTTCAAATCATTTTTAGTCCGGACTTATTCTGTTTTTGGTTTGATTACATCATTTTTTCCAATGATATTTGGAAATTAAATTACCTTCCACATTTAGTTATGGGTTTTATGATTGTCAGTTGTTTTTCAATGAAATACTTGATTTAAATCCGGTTTGCGTGATTTATTGGACGCGTCATTTTTTTCCCAATTCGAAGGCTTATCATTCTTAAGCGAAAATAGGAAGAGAATTTTTTAAAATAAAAGTTAATTGCAATCCTACGGGCTACCTAGGTGTGAAACAATATTGGTATGTTTCTGGGAAAAAGTGGTCGATGACGTCGTTAACGCCATTTCTGAATTTACAATATTATTATCTTATTATTACCTTAGAGCATCGTATATGAGATAATAGGAATTTAATTATCAGTTTTGGTTCTGGCACAGTAGACCTTGGACGTCAAGTTTGGATCACCCTGTACATTAAGTATAGACACTTTGAAAATCATTGGTTTTAAAGCATAAAAATTGGAAAACACATTTTCATGTAGACAAAAAAATTCTTACACCTACAAATTGATATAATTTTTGGCATAGTGATTGGTCGTCCGAGGCCAAATAGTACATTCACTGGATTGAAACAAAACTCATCCGTTACATTGTTGCAAATGACTGAATAATTATATGTAACTAATTAATAAGTCTAATTTTGAAATTTTATTACGAAGATAATTTTTTTGATAACATATGGACAAACTAATTGATATTTCAAAACTTTCCTAATTAGCAGGCTCATTACTAAAGTAGCTGGGATCGTAGGAAATTTGAATACACTTGCCAATTAGCGCTGTTTCGTTAAACTAAAATACTTTACTAGTAATATGAGCATGTAAAAAATATTTGCATTCAGTCCGAGAATATTATTTTAAATCCACATCAACTCTTCAAATTCTTATTGCGAAATGGCATCACTGCATTATTTTTGTCTTCAATACTTGCTTTAGTCATTGACATCATGAAAGTTCGCAGCAACTCAAAGAAAAAGCTGAGATGGGAGAGGGAGATGATACTGCTCAGATTAATAATTTTGTTTCTTAAATAAAAAAAATAGGTAATGAAGTTTGAAAAATGTTATACATTAAGTATAAATGCTGCACTGTATAAAATAATACTAAATTTTATAACAAAAGCTTTCATCCAACAAATTACACTTGATTAGTCCGAAATGTGAAACAGAGGTTATTCCCTTCAAATCCGTATTCTATGTATATTGTTAATACCTCTGTGAGAGGAACAATTGATTTAATCTAGTAGGTACTAGGTACATTCTAAAAGCCACAAGAGCTGAAATTTGGTAATACAGTAGTCAGCAGGAGGCGTTTTAATGTTTGTTGATAACATAATGAATGTCAACAAGGTCTCAGCTTTTGTGGTATTATTTTACGTGTGTGGGAGGCTGCCGCAGCTATACTTCACATTCACTTGCTAGTGATACCAAATAAAGGTTAGGAAACATTTGCAGCTTTTGTGAAATGACTACCCTTAAACGGTGCCGGCTCCCGCACTATTACTTTACTTTTTTCAGTCCAACTTTAGTCATAACTTATTTGTTACAATGTCCAACATAAAGTCTTAGTCCTGTCTTAAAGCATGAATAAAATACTAGCTATTTACACGCATTAAAATTAATTACTAATATTTAAACAATCGAGACTGCGCATCGCAACTGGTTCAAACAGTTCTACACGATCTCACAGAAAGGACTTACGCCTCTCGGCAGCCCACCCAGCTGAAGCCATAGGGCCATGTTTGCACCACTCCCAGCCAAACCACCATTTCCCGCACTCGGGGATTGGTGGTTGAGAACGCCTCGCGGTGCTGTCGAAGAGCGACCCCAGGCAGTTACAGAGGCTACGACCGAACCGCCCCTCCACCTGGCCCCAGGCACTCAACCACACCCATAGTCGCAGATTCCCCCCGTCCATCTAGTCGAAGTCATCGTCGCTGACGATGACTTCAGCATACTCTACAAGCATACTAACCATACTCCCATCTCTCCATGCCACTCAAGCGCCAGCAGGGATCCTCCGGAGCTAAATTCTCACGCGCAGCCTCCGTGACTAGTTTCATACACAGCGTTCTGGCGTGCCGAGCCGTCTCAGCACCCAGACCACATTTACACTCACTACAGCCCGTTATTGTAAACCTGTGTAAGTAAGCACGGAAATTTCCGTGCCAGTTGCAAGCTGCAGTGCCTTTCTATTCAAACCCCTTTCCCACTCTGTCACACACCTCATATAATTCTCTCTCACTCTCACTACTGGACCAGAGCCTCTGCCGCTCGTCCATGGCCCAGAACCGCATCCGACTTCTGACCTGCCCTTTGGCTATTTGTGTCGGGACTGCCACCACGGGTGTACCCCAGAGCGCACAGCTGGCTACCTCATCCACGGCGACTGCACCAACGGATCACATGCGAGCTTCCCACTGCACTGTGACCCCCATACCACCATCCCTCATCGCATGCAACGTCCTCTGCACCCCAACCTCTTCCACAGACTGTGATTTATAATCATTAATTGCAAAAGGGCCATCCCTCGAGTCTGTCCACACTACCGCACAATCACCCCTTATACAAAGAGACTTCAAATTCATCAGGGCCTTTCCAATTGCTGCGATCTTTACGTCATTCACACTCTTACCACCCCATTCAACCCATTCATCACTAACCCACTCTCACACTCGCTCCTACCTACACACCACACACCAATAGCCCCTTTCACACCTGCCGCATCACACCACGCATTCCAAACGGTGTTCTCCCCCTGAATCGTTCCTCATCCTGCAGCATTTTGTAGCCGCTTATGCGGAGGGACCCGCTTCGACTCCCTCGCCATTCCAACTTTAACTCTCCATCCGTGTTCTCTATAAAATCTATGCCTGTCCAAACACTAAAGCCAGACCGGGGGGACCCGTACACGACCTGCAGGGCCTCCGTAGAGGTCGTCCGGTACACCCTTCCTATTCCAAGAAGTAGAACGCCTTGCCTCCATATTTCAGACGCATACAAGATTGCACTCTTCACCACTCTCTCATAAATCATCCACACCACATTATTCGTCGCCAGTCCCCTCCTCCTCATAATCCCTCGAATCTTCTCACACACTGTACCCACTCTCACTCTCACATACTTGGCATGTTCCCGGACTATTACTTAAAATAAATTGAATTCTATATATTTTTTGTCTTAGGATAAATTAAATACATAGATATTATTTTTTAAATATTTTGGTAGCTTTGACGCAGGACATTTGATCATTGAAATTAAGTACTTCATGCGGAATGTAAATCATGAAATGTTTCTAAAATGATTATGACCTCAAAAAATATAGTCAAATTAAACATTTCACAAGGGTTTCAATATTTTGAAATTCAAATTCGTTAGCGGTTAGTCAGCATTATCAAAGAATGATAAAATGAATTAAGCATTTGATACTTAAATCCATTATTGTCGGTAAAGTAATAAATAAACTACCCATTATTCCATTCTATTATTCAAGAATTTAAAGAAAATATTAAAACAATATTATTATCTTCACATGCAGAGCACTTTGCCTCAATTACAAGTTCTCTAGCAAGTACTCCAGTAATTCTTCTTCAGCCTTTGTTGGTCCAGTGTTGGATGTAGGCGTCGTCCAGTCTTTTCCATCTCTATCTCTGGCTGTTCTCAACAACGAAAAATAAAAAGAAATGGGGTTGAGGATCCCTATTTCTTTTTATTTTTCGTTCAGGTATTGCAGTATTCGCTTTAATTCTTCGATGTCCGGTGGGTTGGGTTCCAAAGGTGGGGTGCCACAAACACTCTAATAAGTAGGCAACTTTATTTGGAATTGAGCAAGTGTCCACATTCCATGGAACTTGAGTATCAAACAAACATATCTGAGTTGAAAAAAAAACAACTGTCTATTGTTTCTAAAAAATTTCATGTTCTGCTCATTAGCATTGCATTTTTCAATGGCATTGTTGACACTTACACAAAACCGCTTGTCCTTGCTTTTATTGGAGAATGGGCTTCATAATTATACCTTAGGAACGCGGACTGATTTTAAAAGTCTCTTAATTTCACTATTTTGCTTTCACAGAAACAATTTTTCTACAAGATAAGAAATGACAACTAGATTTAATCCTGTGATCGATTTAATGAAATGAAATGTATAACAAACAAGTGGAAGTTTTAATAAATGTACCAGAGAGATGTTTACATTTGCACTTAAACGGCTTTGATCATATTTTTTTCAATTTACAGATAATGAATGATCAACTAGAAATTTAAATACAATAGAAAAACTAGTGCTTTCAAAAATAGGTACTAAAATATAGATTAACTATAGTAAGTGCTAATGTAGTGGCTAGTTCGACTCTAGTGCAAATGATGTTGATTGAGTTCATAATATTTGGAAAGACTACAATTATTTATTTATATTTAAATACGTTTGTTGTTGTAGATTGCAGAGATCCTTGACACCTTAGGGCTGCTCGATCATAGAACAACAATGACAAGTGGTTTGTCTGGAGGACAGAAGAAAAGATTATCCATTGCATTAGAATTGGTCAGCAATCCCCCAATCATGTTCTTTGATGAACCCACTAGCGGTCTGGATTCATCGTCTTGCTTCCAATGCATTTCTCTGCTTAAAACCTTGGCCGCCGGTAAGCACATACATTCATCATTGTGTTGAAAATAATGCTGAATCGACCGATTTCAGGCGGTAGAACCATTATCTGCACCATTCACCAGCCTAGTGCCAGACTGTTCGAGATGTTCGATCATTTGTACACTTTGGCGGATGGGCAATGCGTCTACCAGGGCTCTACTACCCGGTTGGTAGAATTCCTGGGTCGCTTAGGCTTGCAGTGTCCTCCGTACCATAATCCTGCATCATATATCATTGAGGTAAGTTTAGAATTTCGATGAAAATGTGTCGCACCACTGGCCGCAGTTTTCCTGTAGTGCGCTACTTAATCCTGTTGCGATTCCTTTGTTCTTTCCTTCGCTGTTTTGAGCAGCATTTGACTTTTATGTGGCAGAGCTGTGCTCCGCCGCAGCCATGACTTCCACTCTCTTCCAAAAGTGTTGGTTCCTGGTCAGACGTTATGTCCGACCCGGAATGTGGAAAGAGGGAGCTAATCGTGGGGTTAGAGGCCCCCTTGGTTTTGTGTTCAGGCAATTTTAGAACCTTTTCTTCTTTTTGTTGTGTTTCCATGGGACAGTTGGGTTTCTTTGTTTGTGTTATGTGTGGGTTGTGTGTCCGTTTATATTTCGGTGACTGATGACATGAATCAGGCTACAGACTACGCGCGTCTCTGTGTCCCAGGTGGGCATGGTCGAGTTTGCTCCAGTTCGTAAAGTCCGGCAGCCGCAATTCATATCCCCTCAAGGATGGATGCAGGGTCCTATTCAGTCGCCAGCTGACACTACTCCTAACCTCAAGATTTTTCGCTACTTGATAGGGCAGTCTCCTACGTTGGCTGTTACAAAGGTGGCCCCTGAACTGCTCAGCGGCCCAGGAACTGCCTGCAAACCGGTTGTTACATTGCTACTTTCGAGATAGCACTCCGAACCCGCGGATGGGCGGGGTGAACTCAGCAGCCGCTAGGCTACTCAGTTTACTACGCGACATCAAATACTATAGACCAGTGTCTCCCAAATAGTGGTCCGCGGAATGATTTTTGAGGGTCCGCAAACACATGGCAAAAAATAAACAAAAATAGGCGAACAGGTAAATAGTCAAAAGTGCGTTCCAAATAAAGTTTTTCTGAAGTTTTAAGAATTAAGGTTTAATCTGGCAACACAACAGTGCTAACACATATACAAGTATACTATGGCGTTATCCTGCGGCTATATAGTATTGTAACGTAACGGGTCATAACGTATGCGAGTTGCGACAAGTTAAAAATTGGTTTGAAACAGATGCACAATTTTTAATACATATCCGTTTAGTAGTGACTAGCCGCTAGTGTTTTATTATGGATCGTTGGTTAAAAAGCGGCTCTTAAAAGGTCGCATAAGGAAACTTTGGCAGAAGTTGATGAGATGGAACAACAACCAAGTACTTCTCAGGAGTCAGAAACTCAATTTAAGGCAGATAATTCGAAGCCAAAAAATATTGATAAATTTCGTGGGAAGCTACGAAAATATAATGAAGAATATTTGCAGTTTGGATTTATTGAAAATACCGCCAACGACGAGCTAAGACCACAATGTGTTTTATGTTTTGATGTACTTTCAAATGAAAGTATGAAACCGGCAAAACTTCAACGTCACTTAAAGGGAAAACACCCTGAATCAGTGAACAAACCTGTCGATTTTTTTCAGTTAAAAATGAAAGAACTTACAAAGAGTAAAAACGTAATAGAAAGAGTTGCTTCTGAAAATAAAAACGCCACACTTGTTTCTTTTCAAATAGCGGAATTAATTGCTAAATCTGGAAAGTGCCGCACTATAGCAGAGAGTTTGAGGACGAAATTGTTAAAATGTCAATTTTATTAAGGCCAGACCAATAAACTCTCCGGTTTTTTAAGCAATATGTGAAGAAGCAGGCTTAAACACGTTCAACTCCTTTTACATACAGAAGTACGATAGCTGTCCCGGGGAAAAATTTTGGCTCGAGTTTTTGAACTTCGTGACGAGAGTCGGGTTTTTTTAAATAACAATAAATTTGAATTAGCTGAACGAGTTAACGATTTTTCTTGGGTGTGCTTGACAGCATACTTATCGGATATTTTTGCTTTTTTAAATGAACTCAATCTACAATTACAGGACAAAAGCATACATATTTTGAGGCTAAAGAAAAAATAGAAGCCACCATAAAAAAATTACATATTTGGACTAACCGCGTGGAACAATCATCTTTAAGTACATTTTCTTCTTTAGATTCGTTTTTGAAATCCGAGGAAGAAACTTTACCACAAGAGGTTAAACTTATAATTTGTGAGCATTTGCAGAACATAGCTAAAAGTTTTCGTGAATATTTTCCGGCGCCAAATAATGAAAACTGCTGTATAAGATATCCGTTTGCTACCTCAAGAATTGAACGAAATGCAACTCTTACAGAAAAACAACAAGATCAGCTTGTCGAGTTGTCTTGTACCAGTTCTAAAAAAGACAACGATTTAGTTCAGTTTTGGATTAAAATTAATTCTGATTACGAGCTCTCAGAAAAGGCTATTAAATATTTGATCCCATTTTGCACGACATATTTATGTTAACAGGGTTTCTCTGTATACGTTTTTTTGAAATCAAAACAAAGAAATCGACTGGATGTTGCTTCAGACATAAGACAAAATATTTCAAATATTAGACCTGATTTACAAAAAAAATATGATGAAAAAACCAGTGTTTTGCTGTTTTGCTCATTAAAACTGTTGAAAATGTGTCAGTGATTTTATTTTAATTTTTTATTACTCATGAGTCTTAACAATTATTAATTACAATAATAACATTACCGCATTATAACCGAATAGTTGTTTTATTTTTGTTTTTGTAACGAAACTGTTTCTGAGTGTCCCCATGATACTAGCGTCTGATTTTGGGGGTCCGCAGCTTCGAGACATTTGGGAAACACTGCTATAGACTATATATATAGTCTATAGTATTGGGCGACATGCAGGCGGAGTTAAACGTATGCAATGGTCACTTCATGAAAAGGACGTGATCTTTGCCGAACACCATCGTTATTAGGGCGAATATGTCAAGCTTCCACCATTAAAAATTCAGCCCTCAAGCTTGATCAGATCACTTGCTCGATGCGTCAATTTCTTTTGATTTAGTGTTTTTGTTCGATAAATGAACTATTGTGCCTGCAACTATCATGCGTGAATTTAGAGTAGAATTCATTATCCTGATTTTGGTTCGAAATTCGAAGAGTTTCCCGGCAGAACATCCTGTATTCAATTGCCAAAACAAATAAATTTACATACTTTCCTCTTTACGTTAAACGTAAAAGTAATAAACACTTTCTTTGCTTTACTGGTGCTAGAGGAACCATAACATTTATCTGAAACCTTTACGCTGGATTTATGCAACTCTGCAGTTGGTGCAGTTGCCATGCCTTTGCTGTTGTTCACGTTTGATGATTAGAGCTGGATTTATAGACCCTGCAGTTCGTTCTGTTCGTCGTTCGTGCAGTTGCCGTACCGTTGGCGTTGCTGTTTTTGCGTTTTCATGATTTATATTGTGCAGTTCGCAGTTGCCGACGTTGGAATTTGATTGGTCAGATTGACAGATCAGAAAATGAAGACAATGTCGAGATTGTCTTAATCTAGACGCAGGGTACTTGGTTTTACGTTCATTTTAGTTTCATATTTGCCATTGGATGAAAAGCGTCTTTAGTAACATGCTAGAATTTCTATTTCACCATTATACCAGATGTATTTAGCACGGTCGCAAATTAAGCACACGCATTCAGTTTTTACTGGGCACTTACAGCTTATGTGTCCTAAATAGTACAAACTTTCATAATACGCTGTATTAGCAAGATGCTTAATTCGGGATCCTCAACGAAAATAACTTGATTTGCGATCTTGGCAGAAACATAAACAAGACACTGCCTCGTTTTGACAAATATCACTTAGTCTGACGTGATATGCAACTCTTTCTCTCATTGGTTAAACCGCCAACGGCATGGAAACGTATTAGAAACGACGAACCTCAAGCAACGCCGGGTTTATAAATTGATACGTGCGCGCGCGTATGTTTATATCTCAAACGGCGGCAACTGCGGACTTCGAACGATGAACGGCACCAACTGCAGAGTTTATAAATCCAGCTTTAGAATCTACTGGTTTTATCTCTTGTTTCCTTGTAAAAATCAGCGTAAAAGGAACAGAAATGTTTAATATTGTAGAATAAATCAGATTTCCTCATGTGTACACTTTTACATGAAAAGCAACTAATTACACTAAGGAAAAATTACGGTAAATATTGCAATAAAAGTACAATAGAATTCGTTCTTGTTACAAAGCTTTGTTTAATTAGGTGGCTTGTGGTGAATATGGAAACCACACCAGAACTTTGGTAAACGCCATCAAGAATGGCAAGGAAGATATTCAAAACGGACAGCCTCTTCCTACCTTGGAAATAACTGATGGTTTAAACAACTCCGAAAAATTCACACACGATATCAAGAACACAATCGCTGCAGCTGTCAACAAATCAGACTATAAGTTTGAAAACGAACCCGTTTATAAATCAACTACAATATCTGCATTGCCAAAAGATGTAGTTGATGACATTGCCAAAGGAGGTAGTGTAATCAAATAGCGTGTCGGGGTCCGAGATGACCGAATTTATTATTTTCTAGATGCTGCTAAAGACGACCCGGAAAAGGCCAGTGCCAACTCTGCACTACTGGGGGGCCCCACTGAAGAAACTGCCACTAAAAGATATGGCACTAGCGAGCTGGATCAATTCTTCATTATCTTGAAAAGAACTCTGTTGTTCAGCAGAAGAGACTGGGTAGGTACTTTAAAAACGATGCGCTCTATTACCGGCATTGCTAGCATGATATAACTTTTTACGAAGTCGAATAACAAGAAATATAGTAAGAAGAGTAAAATATGAACAAAAGCTACATTACTTTTCATCTAAATTCAAATTAGTATTTTTTTCAAGTAGTTGTCGGTTGATGGAAGCAATAGTGATTTCTCTTAATAAGCTAAAGATTTGCATTTGGAAGTGTAGGCGTTTAGAAAATGTTTATTTTTGAAGCGAACTTTTTATGACCCGGTGTATACCCAATGCAATTTTTGAAAGCAGATACGAAAACATCTCTGAAAAACCTATCGATTGATATATAATTTATTGTTACATTATTAACCGTTACGCCGCATACCCTGCCCAACTATAGAAGTTAATATCTCAACATCTACTGGACCGAATTGGATCATTTCTTTCTTAAAGAAGCGTCTTTCCGGGTACTATTTTTCCATATTTTCCGATTTTTTTTTCATTCGTAAGTCTCTCTTCACAGGCTTATTTCTTAATAAGCCAAACTTTTTCAAATTAATATAGCATGTTCTTGTTAATATAGCAATTACATATGATAGTTTAAGGGTCCAAGAAGGTGTGAAAGCGCGGGCTTAAAAATATTCATAACTTTGAACCTGGCACAAATTTGAACACATTTGATTTTTTTCTAAATAGGTTAATTAACAATTGCATTATGCAAAAACTGTCCGTACGATCTCAATCGGGCTTGCGGCTCACATTTTGTATTGTAGTAGTAGTCAAGTAATTTTCTCTAAATGTATCGCGTGATTGGGTTATATTTTCATTGTTAGATAAATAATTTAAAATAACTGTTTTTTACCTACTTTTTTTGGACTTTCGAGCATTTTAAAGCGAACATTTCAAATCTACAGCAATTCGCAATTGCTTCAAGTATTGACAACAAAATAGTTACTTTTATAATGTTTCTTTCTTTAACTTTGCATTAAGGACTGTTTGTCGGGTTTTATTAAGTATTGCACAGTAAAAGCGACCAAAACATAAAAGTAAGTAACCAAGAGTAAATAAATGCAAAAAGGTAATAAAATTAGCTATCGCAGTGAAACAGGCAAGTGAAACAAAGCAAAATCACATATAATAAGTACAAGAAGGTGCTGGTCAGCACAAGGAAAAACTGCCAGAATACGGAAGATGTATTATAATTATCAAAATGGTGATTTTTTTCTATATTAATTTAGACTTTCCACTCATCTTGTCGACGACAATTATTGAATTAATAAGTTATAGTTAATTAACGTTTTCGCTGCCCACTTTTTTAAATTGGTTGCTTTAACTACCAATCAATTGGGCTCGTGGGCCAATTAATAAAATTAAAGCAAACTTCTGGTGATAAATTTTAAAATCTACATTAGTTCAACTTAAAACATAAATCAAATGCGTGTGTTATGGTAATATAAAATTGTTTTTGGGATTTATTGTCGAGAAAAAGAGAGTTCAATGCTTATTAATGCATGTAGCTATATGTATGCTGGATCAAATGAGTAAATACAAATGCATTTAGCTTTTTTCTATATTGCCTGCTTTCTATAAATAGTCAGGGATGTTTTGAGTACTGTTTTTAGGCCGCTAGATTTTTATCTATACTGATAATAAGCTTTGACTGACAACGAAAGTGAAGGTCAGTTGGCGCACCCGCCGATTAAGAAAAGTAGTAAAATGTTTCAGTTGAACTGGAATATTATTTACTTATTTATTTATTTAACCAGTTAAAAATTACAAATTAATCTGTAAAGTCTTATGTGGTAATATAATTACCTGTGCATAGGCCTGGCTTACTAAGAATAGTCCTACTGCTAACTTATCTTAAGAACTCGTTAGATTATACAGGGTTGCTCATTAGTGCGTCAAAGTGCGATATCTCAGTAAATATGAAGTTTACAAGAAAATTCGTCCAACGAAAGTTTTTCACATTTAAAAGGTCCACATTCTAAAATTACTTTCCAATATACAGGGTGCATCATAAACGTGTGGTAGTTACCAACTCTGGTTTTTTAAATGAAACCCCCCCCTTTTTTTTGTTATTTTCAGATTGGCCGTTCAATTTTAATTTATGTTTGTTTCAACCGTTTTACCTGAAAAATTTACGATTTCCGAGTT